TTTTTGAGACGTGGTCTCACTCTGTCACCCAGGCTGGAGTGCAGTGGCGCAATCTTGGCTCACTGCAAGCTCCTCCTCCCGGGTTCACACCATTCTCCTGCCTCAGTCTCCCAAGTAGCTGGGACTACAGGTGCCCGCCACCACGCCTGGCTAATTTTTTGTATTTTTAGTAGAGACAAGGTTTCACCGGGTTAGCCAGGATGGTCTTGATCTCCTGACCTTGTGATTTGCCTGTCTTGGCCTCCCAAAGTGCTGGGATTACAGGTGTGAGCCACAGTGCCCGGCCCTCACACGCCACTTTTTCAACAACTGGGTGAATAAGCAACAGCTCAGAGCAGCGAGGTAGGGGAGCTGCCCTGAGGAGGAGAGGAGGGCTGACTGCTCCCATAGGACAACTGGTGAGGACCCAGCACACTGGGGAGTGGCGTCGGGCGGCGGGGGAGGGGGGGTCACCAACTTGCATCTGGTCCCTGGGCTGCTCACCTTTCCCTGAGGTGCAGACAAGGCTGGCTAAAGCACCCTGTCCCTGGCCCAGACCTCAGTGCAGGTGGCAGGGTGGGGGCGGAGTCTCACCTGCACGCAGTTCCTGCAGCCTCTGCAGACACTGGCCCACCATGGCCTGCAGGCCCTCCAGCGTGAGCAGGCAGCGGTACTCCTGCATCCAGTCCATTGGGGCTGCAGAAGAGTCAGGGAGGGCAGGTGGGGTCCGTGGCAGTCTGGAAACCCTCCCTGCACTAGCCCTCCATGCTCCTCCCGAGACAGATCCAGGACCCACTGACCTGCTGAGAGTTCCTCCCTCACACGCAGTCTCAGCAGCGAACAGGCCTTCCGCAGGCGCCTCGCCTCTGCCTCCACTTCCGCAGCACTGAGCCTGGGCTGCGACCCGCCTGACTGGATGTGGGTCAGGAAAACTTCCCTGCAGTCAAGCCCCTCTGCTCCCACCAAGGACAGGGCCTGGAGAGTGGCCCTAGCCATCCCACACCAGCCCCTCCTGGGGCTGCTCCACAAACCTGCCAGGTTCAGAGCCAGAGGCCCCCCAGGCTCCCACAAGCCCAGCAAGGATACAGCTGTCTGTATGTTCTGGAGGAACTGGGTTTTGGCGGCAGCGGCATCCATGGAATCACTGGTCTGCATGGAACTCAGCTGGACCCACAGGCTGGGGTGCACACGTGGGGCGCCCCAGGAACCATAGAGGGACACGGTTATTCCAGCTGGTGAGCTGGGCCTTGGGAGGTAGGCAAGGGCCAGGGTGGGGACCCCAGGCTGGGCATCTGGCTCTGCTGAATGCCTGGAGGGGTCTCCAGAGGCCTCAGGGAACCAAGAGGACACTGACCAGAACAAGGGGACAGAGCTGACAGGCTGGCAGACTTTTAACGTCGACAGTGACCCCACTCAGCAAAGAGGGCAAAGAGACCCACTAGAAAGTATCCCGAACCTGTACCCGAGCTGGTGATGCCTCCAGGTTCTCCCCTACCCCTGTCCAGCCAAAGACCTCAGCCTCACCTCGAGTTCTGGGAAGCCGCTTTCCTGAATGCCGCAGGCAGCCGCAGCAGGTGCCTGTCGGAGAAGCCGGTGTTCAGAGGAGCATCGCCTTGCTCTGGGGTCTACAACTCCCATTTCCTGCTCAGAGCCCAATCAGGGATGAGGCTTCTTGCCCCTTTCCCACACCCGACCCCACCAAGGATGAGCCCCCTTGGATAGGGCTTCCAGAGCGGCCATGGGAGAAGCATGGTCCAGTGCTGTCCCGGTAGAGAGAAGAGGGGGCCCTGTGAGCAGAGCCCACACCCTCCAGAGCCCATCTGCAGCCTCTGGCCTGGGCAAATAAGGGGACAGCCACAGAGGAGAGGGCAGGACAGGCTCTAGTACTTCCCTGTCCTGATGGTGCCGACCTGGACACCACCACACAGCTGCTTCATTCTGCCAGCTTCTGAGCACGAGCCTCAGGGGTACACCCCAGGGCTCAATGCCCTGCCCTGTCACCCCAAATCCCAGGCTCCTTGCTAGCCAGGGTCTGAGGAGGCAGAGACAGAAGTCCCTCCAGTGAGGGTCTGGGAAACCTACCCCTTTTCCTTGAGTGTGAAGGCTTCTGGGGCCTGAGGAGCAGCCGATGGGGCCATATGCTGGTTCCTGAGGCCCGCTCCAGGCCTGGGGGCTCGGGCTCCTATCCCAGCACGGGTCCTATCCGGCACTGACGGCAGCCGGCGCTCAGGGCGGCCCTTGGCAGGCACTGTGGTCTGGCGGAGGCCCTTGGTGGGTCTCCTGTCTGAAGCATGGCCACCAGCTTGGCCTGGGGACTGGGGTGGGGTGGAGGCTGTCGTGCCAGGAGAGGTGACAACGGACCTAGATTTCAGGCTGGGGGCCTTGTTTCTTTCTCCAGCCTTCGTGATGCCTCTTCGAACCCGAACAGCCTTCTCCAGTGCCTGGGTCAGAAACTCCAACTCTTTGAGGTCTTGTGGACTGGGTGTGCATGCTGTGAAAGCCAAGAATTACGCAGGGATCTCTCCCCACTGTCCCCCAGGAGGGTCCCTCACAACTGCGCTCCAGAAGACAGAGCAGAACAGCACCTGGATTAGGTGGGTGGTGGAGGTTTACCTGGAAGGGGGTCCTCTTCATTAATTTCTGGCTCTGGAGGTGGCTCCCAAGCCCAGGTCCCGGTTGGTTCCCTACAAAGACATGGGCAGCCGTCGCACGGCCAGGAGGCAGGGCCCGGCCCAAACAGACGCAAGGGGGCTGCCCGGCCCCGCGGCAGGCCCCCAGCTCAGAGCTTGCAGGGTACGGGGGGTGGCAATGACAACCTATAGCTCCGAAGTGGGCGGCTGCGCCCGGTCTCCCAGCCACGGGACCTCGGGGCAGGACTCTGAGGGGCCGAGGGAGGTCTGGCCAGGGGGTCCCGGGGTCCGCGTACCAGGCCTGCAGCAGCCGACGGCAGACGCG